TTTTATATTTTTTGTGGCTTTATTTATTTACTTAATAAAATTATCTTACTTAAGGACCTTATTTATCTAACAATTGTTATAGAATGGAAGCGTACACAGAAATGTAACAAAATATAGGTAGTAAAAAAACTTAAATACAAACCTAAGTACCTTGGTAAAGCGCGTAATACTAGATAAACTAATTGTATCTAATACATTAATATCTTGTAAAGTTTACATACTGCGCACATACAGAGTGATTCTTAACATAAAGAATCACAAGCTTTGTGGTAGAGAAGCCCAGCAGCTGTCAATTAAGAGCAAAGTATTATGCCCGATTTATTCTAAGTTGTGAAATTATACATTTTTGACTTCTCTACAAACATCTTAAGAAAGTTCATCAACATTCGATTTCAAAAATATGTTTCTTTCCGGAACTGCTTTTTGCTTTCATTTTTCACTTTCCCGTCTCTATAGATCCATAGTGTGAAAGTTACCGGGGATATTCTAAGCTTCGCCTTGGGATCAAAATGTCTTCAATTTTACATTAAATACGTGCCTCATTTACTGTAAATATTTGACTTGTGTTTTGGTCGTAGAGCCTACACACCGAAAATATTGCCGTAAAAAAATGCTAGGCGCGTATAATTTTTTGATCATTTGAATTTTCTCTCAGATCCGCCTCGCAAGTTTTTATATGCGAAAAACTGGCATGAAATGTGTTGAACTGGTTAGAATCGTTTGATTTATAATGATGTGAAGTAAAAAAAGTTTCATAAACTTTTAGCCAATACTGTAAGTTAACAGAAAAGAGTACGTAGTCCAGTCCAAAGCCTGTCGTCCGGGTAACATCCGGTCTGACCGGAAGTCATTTCAAAACCGGAAAATCGCCAATCTCCTCGCGCTACCTGACTCGTTTTTATCACACTTTCAGCTTACATGTGCGATTCTATTTTTTAATCTATACTTAAATAGTATCGTAAAATTACATACGTATGCCGAATTAAACACCTTTTATTTCTCTGAACAGGCACTTTTGGAGCAAACTGTCTTGGTAACAAGAGGTGAATCTCAAATGTTTGTGTCTCAGATCAGATCTGGGGACCTAGCACGAAAATTCACTCGAAAGTATTAGTATCGTCATCTACAGATGAATACATGACGTCGCGACATAATGTATAAACCAACGTTAAAAAGCGAGTATCATAAATAATTACCAACCTAAACTACACATATTTCTATTAAGGCACTAGCTTCCGCCCGCGACTCCGTCCGCGGGGTAATAATAAAAACAAAAGAAAGTAGCCATGTATTCTTCTAGACTATCCTTTACATCGATTCCGAATTTAATCCAGATCCGTTCAGCCTTTTGACTACAAACTCTAACAAACATCCATCAATCCAAACATTCAAAATTATAATAATAGTAAGATGTACATAATGCATTAATGCATAATGCAATAACTTATAAAAATTCGTAAAAGTTTAAAAAAAGTGCCATCTAGCACATAAACCTGAAAACATAGAAAGGTTACAAGAAATTGAATTGATATGAATACAAACATTTGACCCTAGAGGGCGCATCTCTAATTTTGTCTAACATGAAAACAGTCTACAAAAATGTTAAAATGGGACTGTGTAATTCCTGAAAAAATAGTGACACCATAAAAAAAAAACATGTAACTATTACTAATTTATTTTACTAACAACTAAATACTAAAAATAGATTAAATTTCGTCAATCAATTTGAATCTGTTATGTTGTGGCTCAGGTATGACATTATAGTATTTTTTGAATATATTCTGATTAGTTCTACCACCATAATTCCGCTGCACCCATGTATGATCCCAGTTTGGGTCAAACTTCTCACATGTTACAATCACCTTCCCCGCTTCCATAGCAAATAATGTTCCATTACGTCCAAACCCAACCTAAAATGGAAACAATTGAGTTTTTATTATGAAATATGATAAAAGTAAGAAAATGACTAGGATTACAGGTTTTGTGACTAATCATTATTAATTAATAATTTGCTACTTCAAATTGAGATTTAAATTGTAAACTATCGTTTGCCGAGCAAACCTTACTGTTACATTTACTTTGGCAATGTTCAATTTAGAGAATATATCAGTGAAGATATACAGTATAGATTTAGATAATAAGTTGTTCTTCCTTACATTTAAACCTGGATGGAATCTTGTAGTTCTTTGGGTAGCTAAAATTTTTCCAGCTGGTACTATGTGACCATCCTGCACTTTCCAACCTCTGTGCTTTGGCCTTACTTTACAGTTTGTATTCTTAGTACTGCCTCCTGTCTTTTTACTGGCATTACGGATGAAATCTACAATGAAAGTTAAATATAGTAAAACTGACATAACCTTTAAGTACAACAACTTGCAAAAACATACCCGCGAAGACTGTTACTGGTTTCTTGTTTAGTAACCAGTAGATTGACATTATTTGGGAATTAATTACACTGCTTAAACCGTACACTGACTTTTATTGTGATTTCAATTTTATAATATCTTCCTCCACTGCATTACACCTTTACTTTGTTGACAGTTTGATAGTGACAGTGACTAATAAATTTGAATTGACATTTTTACTTTGACATTGACAGAATGTCAATGAATTGATATTTTTTTATTCATAGTGTTTGATAATGTCGCCGTTAAAAGAGATTTTTATAAAGCCTGGCAAAAATGTTTTTTGGGCAACATACTCACATGTTGTTTTTAATGTTAGGGAGCAAAAGAGCAGCATAATTATTTAATTATGACTGGGAATAGGACCATCTTCCTACATTATGAATCGATAATAATAGAAAAAAATATATGAAACTACTTTTAGCGAATTTGATCAGTTTATTTAAATATCAACAATATGCGTGCAGTCAAGTTACAGTGCATAATATATAGCAATCTTCATTATACATTGATATCTCTATAGTAAGCAAAAGGGAGCTTTTCTCTTCATAAGGAAAAATGTAACATAGAAAGGAAATTTTGGTTTCGTTGTTTGCCTTGAATAGACTACAAAACTCCGGAATCAATTTGAAAAATTCTTTCACCTTTGGGATGTAACACAATCCCTAGGTGACGTAAATTATATTTATTGCTAGATTTTTTAAGTTCTGTACAGAAGAAAGCGCAAGTAAAGCTACCTTATTATGTTTTTAAAGAACAAGTCATATAGTTTTGAAGTTAATAATCATTTGACGAAGATGTGTTTATTTAATTTGTAATGTTCAAGGATACAGAGACGGAAGTGGGCTGTAGTTTAAATTCAAACTAATAACGACTACATGATACTAATTCCTTGTTAGGTGGGTTTGTGTGTACACCGATCAACCTTAAAAACTTTTTAAATAATGTTTTTACATTTTTAAATTCGCCTAATATCGTAGCGTTTAAAAATTACCGATTAGTATTTTACAGTTGTTTAAAAAAGTGTAACAAGATTGATACGCAACAGCCCTAATGACATTGGATATTAATTATTTATCACAATATCACTTGTGCGACGAGTCAGTGTTACTTTATTACGGAGTGACTTTTATACTGGACGGTTGTTAATACGCAGTTAGCGGCATAACCCTTTTTATATTTCTATTCAGATTTGACAATGATTTTATTATTAATTTTCACTACTGTGCTATTTATAATATTAATATCGTGGTTTAATTTGTTATGGGATGCGAAAACGAATGATGTTAAGGGTCCTCTACCTTTACCTTTGATCGGCAATGGACTCGACTTTGTCGTTAAACCAACAGGCATGTATATTTGATTATTTTATTTTATAACATATAAACATATAGGTTTTAAGTGATTAATAGTATTAATTTCACTTATGTGTACTGGTAATAGATAACAGACTACAATATAAAGTTATTACGATAAAGTAGACCGACAAATTCGTTTTATTTTATTTATAAATAAATTGAATTAAAAATACAAATCTCAGTTTCCTAATACCATTGATATGTACAGTCACCTTCGTTCTCGGTATTCAATTTACAACAAAAAATGAAGATAATAATAAAAGAGATTTGTTGATCTCCTCTCGCTACTGCCATAAAAAAGGGATCCAATAAAGCATGTATCCCTTTTTTATCTCTTAAATTAGGACAACTTTTCTTAAAAAAGTTAATACGGTGTAACTTTTCATGGTAAAGCCCTATAATTTTATGCATGTCACGATTTTAATGCTATGTTAGTATATTTTTAACATTCAAATGACTAAAATTTATTTTTATTCTTATAATGTAGGGTCCAATTGTCTATTATATTATGTCAATCAGATTTTAAAAGCTACTATTCCAATTGATGCGAATGTTCCAATTATTACAGAGTTTTTGAATCTACTTCATCGTCTCCAGCAACGATACGGAGAAGCTGTTCGTGTTCATCTATTTTCAAGTCGATACATTGTGTTGTTCCATCCAAGATACATCGAAGTTAGTATTTCTTTTTTTATTCTTCTTAGACTCCACCTCATGAAGTCATAAATAATATTAAAATTCTCAAGAGTGCTATATACATACAGAGTGCATTTAGTGTGACAGAAATGTTTTTATCTTAAGACTTTAATTTTTGCATCTAAAATCTCATTTAAGTTTTAATTTCAAGTATGTGTAGATGTTGTTTAGTGTAAGTCGAAGAGATAAAGTCGTATTGCTAAAAAACGAGTTACTACTTTAAGCGTAGGACACATTGCTACCGTTGAGCTTCTAAAGCCTTTAAATATTTTTAACAAAGTTGTGAAGGCAATAAAATGTCAAATAAATGTTGTAAGTAAATAATATATACAAGTTCAAAAACGTACAATGGTTTTTATTACCATAAAATGTTCGTTATAATTATAACAGACAAACATGGGCATAATATCTACTACTATAACTATCACGATAGCATTCTCGATGTCATTGCGCAAGGTCGGATTAAAAAAAAGATGCAATATTGCAATAAAAATGTAAATTAATTTTTATAGAATGAATGTTTACGCAGCGGAAGATTGAATTGTTATGCAAATGGTCAGTAGATAAAACTTGATCAAGGTTTTTCAAATTGCACCTACTCACTCGTACTTGAAGGCTAAGTACAAATTGTCACCTACATCATATAAAAATATAATATACTAGCTGTTGCTCGCGTCTTCGTTCGCGTGAATAAAAAATATAGCCTATGTTACTCAGTGATAACATAGCTTTTTAACGGTACAAGAATTTTTGAAATCGCTCCAGTAGAATTTGAGTTATTTCAGTACATTTTATGACTTCTGTCGTGTTCTGGCCTGATGCTTGAAGAAGCCTAATGGGTTTGGGTAAGAGCGATTACGATACATACAAATAACTGTAATAAATGTTTTGTAAGTAATTATTTTATTTTAGGGGATAGTGTCTCACTCTGAAATAATAACAAAAGGTCGATCATACTCTTTCTTACGGGCTTGGCTTGGCGATGGACTTCTAACATCCACAGGTAAATAAAATTTATTAAATGCCTATTACGTAAACTTTTATATGTAACTCTTTTTTACTCGTTACTGTCTTATCTTTAGTGAATTCAATTTACAAATATGACTTACAAATTTTAACATACTAGGCGCTTAGGGTAGGATGGATAATATATTTTAATTTTAACAAAACAATTTTAGGTTCAAAATGGCGTTCCCATCGCAAGTTCTTGACACCGGCTTTTCATTTTAATATCCTCCAAAACTTCATTTCCGTGTTTTGGAAAAACGAACAAATCCTACGAGATAATTTAATGAAATCCGCTGACGGGGAGACTGATGTGAACATATTCCCGATGATCGCTTTAGCAGCTTTGGACAATGTCACTGGTAAATTATTCATTTATTTCATATATTTCTTTCGTGGACCGTAAGTTTCATCATCATCATCACCAGCTCACTATACGTCCCCACCGAGGGGCTCGGAGACTACCCTAAGTTCGAGTAACTAGGCCATAGTCAACCACGCAGGCCAAATGCAAGCCCGGGTCATAAGTTTGTATTCCAGAAATTTCTGTACATACTGATAATAAGACACCATATTATCATTAATCTTAATCCTCGATAAAAAAAATAGGTATTTAACCAACACTTTCTTTTAAAACAAGCCAAGCGTGTTTAATTTGATACCACGTTAACCACATTCCGCATTTTACTCCACACTTACGGAATTTTTATTGTTTGGCAAATCCGATATTTTCATAAGAATATTACTATTACTAATATATTTTATTTACAGAATCAATAATGGGAATGTCGTTCAATGCACAAAAAGACAAAGAATCAAAATATGTAAAAGCGATATCAGAGTAAGTATTCAAATACATATTAATATTTCCATTTAGCTGTTAGAAGCGAAATTATGTCCGTATCTTTTATAGCAAAAGTCAACATCGCGTCGTTTTCAGTATTTACTTTCAAAATGGAACACAGCGAACGAAGCCGACTGTACATACCTTGAACATTTTATCTCATTTCATGCAACTAATAAAACATTTTTTACAACTTTACAAATGTTATTTTAGAATAAGTTCCGTCGTCGCTCTCAGAATGCGGAATCCGTTTATAGCTGAAGAAACGGTTTTTAATTTATCTACCTATAGGAAAATACAAGATAACGCTATAAATGTTCTCCATTCGCACACTAAAAAAGTCATAGAAATACGACGAGAGGAACTCAAGAAAGCAAACATTACATCTCTGGCAGGCTCGACAGATATAGGTGAATAAAAAATCCGTATATTTTAAACATTAATTTATAAGTAGGAAAAATATGTGTCCGTGACTGTTGATATCCTATTTCATAAATGTCAAGAAACCAGATGTCAAGAAATATACCCCAATAGATATAGATTTATTTGTTATAAAGTGACATGATTAAGAATTAAAAAAGGCATTTGATATGTCGAATTGTAGATTCATTTTGAAGCCAAAAATATATTATTCCGACCTCATACATAGATTAATTAAATTACAGAGAAATCAAACAATACTAACCACAGTATACAGGAATCAGAAAATACTTTTATACTAAGACTTCATTTTAAAACAAAACAATATTTTTTTTTTAGGTATTAAAAACAAACATGCGTTCCTCGATCTCCTATTACTTTCTGAAATCGATGGTAAGAAAATCAACGATGATTTGATAAGAGAAGAAGTGGATACATTCATGTTTGAGGTAAATTCTTGAGAATACGCATTATGCAAATTGTTGTTTTAATAAGTCTTAATAAAAATAAGTATTATGACTAAATGTCCAACGCATTTAAACCAGTTTTTTGTACGTAACGATATTTCCAGGGCCACGACACGACAACGTCCGCAATCTCCTTCACACTCTACTGTATGTCAAAATACAAAGATGTACAAGAAAAACTTTTCGACGAACAAAAGTCTATATTCTCAGACGATTTATACAAAGATGCCTCATATAGGTATAATCGTTTTTAATATGTATTTTTAGATGTGTTTTAATATATTGACCTTGACATATACAATAATTAAGCCACAAATTACTTATATCGCTGTGTGAATAAAAAATGGCTAAAAACCTATTCTACCTGTCTATGATCGCTACATCTAAATGTTTTTTGGAGTAAAGAATATCGTAATACTTTAAATGCGGAAGTTTAGATGGATAGATGTTTGTTAGAGTTTGTAATCTAAATGGCTGAACCGATATCGATGAAATTTGACATATATGTAGAGGATATGTTTTTTTTAATTCCGCACGGACCGAGACGCGGGCGAAAGCTAGTCTGTTATAGTTGAAACATTACGTTGCATAACGACATACACATTTATTAATTTCAGTGAATTGGGTCAGATGAAATATTTAGAGCAGGTTATCAAAGAGTCTCTCAGACTGTATCCTTCGGTACCTTTAATAGAACGAATGATAACAAGAGATGTAGGTACGTATTATTGCATAAAATCACCATAAAAACCATCATTAAAACTTAAATTGCATTATATCTACATTACGAGATGTTTTTTATCGTTTTTTAGAAGTAGCGGGTTTGAAACTTAAGGCAAATACATCAGTTATTATAGATATATTCCATATGCAAAGATTGGAAGAGTACTACAAGGATCCAATGGAGTTTAAACCAGAAAGGTTTGAGTCAACAGTTGTAAGGAATCCCTTCAGTTGGATTCCTTTTAGTGCTGGACCCAGGAACTGTATTGGTGAATAGAATTTATGCATCTATAATATTATAAAGAGAAAAGATTTGTATTTTTGAATGTATTGAAATGACTCAAAAACTACTGGCACGATTTAAAAAATTCCTTCACCATTAAAAAGCTACGTTATTACTAAGAAACATAGACTATATTTTTAAATTTTAAGTGTCCAAAAAGTCGTTTACAGTGTTATTATTGTAGGCACTATACAAAGGGCGAATTATTTTGTTGTACCAAAATGTTTTTTAATTTTAAAAATATCTACGTAATTAACAATGTTTTTGATTGTAATTTTTTACACAAAAATATAAATGAGCATTCTCAGAATTGTCAAAACAATAGACAAAAGATAATATCTTTTTACATTGATAACTTATAAGGCAAATCCTGTATGTTAGTTGAAAATATAATAATTAATTAAGAATGTAAAAAATAACTAAAAATGTGTCTATATTTATAAATAATGTTTTAACATAAAAGTAAAAATCAAGTTAATGTTTTTTACAGGTCAGAAGTTCGCCATTTTAGAAATGAAAGTGACACTCTCGGGAATTATACGGCATTTTGAGTTATTTCCTTCTAAACTGGAACCGGAATTTACATCCGATCTCATACTGCGACCTGAAAATGGACTTTTCGTCAAACTGAGGCCGCGAAAAAATCTTTAATTTGTTTCCATTTTAAAATATGTGACATGCGGGGGGCGCCGTGTAATTGCTAATAACTTATCATAGACACCAACTAAAATTACTAGGTTTTACATTAGATTTAACGAATTTTTGTAGAGAAAGTGAGGTGAAGTGATATATTTTATAGTTTTAATGGGATAAATGCATTTTTTTTTTTTGTATAAATATCTAACATTGACTTTCATGGTTCTATTGAGTAAAATAACTTGACATGTTTACATTATTTATCCTTAACCTAGTAATCATTAGCTAATACGCTACACCAAACATCTGAGACATTTTAATTAATTAAAATAACACAGACCTTTCGCTCCGTATGTATTGCATAAACTTTAAAATATTTTTGATTGAGTGTTGCTAATAAGTAAATTAACTATTATGATTATTACTTCACGGAAATAGTTTATTCGATTGCATTAATCTACTACTTATTTCGTTTAATAAATGCATACTATCAAGTATTTACAGTACAATATATTTTAAGCAGTGGTAGAGTCCGCTTTAACATCATGCACGTCGGGACATGGGTCGGCTGGCTCGGTGTAATACCACGACCACACGGAAGACAGACGTGAAGTGGGTGCAATTCCGCGTTTCTTTTGATGTGATGCTGATGGCCTAGATTTAAGCTTAAGGGTAGGCAACGCATCTGCAATTGTAGATGTCTATGAGTAGCGGTCACTTCGCCATTTCAGGGGAATCAGGTGGCCGCTTATGATAAAAAAAACAGTGTTGCTGAAAACAAAGTCGGTCCTATGGCAATATAAGCACGTGCAAAGGGCACGGGAAGTAAGGAGGTACGTCGAGCCAGATTGTTTTAGCCTAGAGCCATCCCCTCAACTCACCTATCACCAGTACTGAACCTCTCCTTGACTATTGCCTTTAATTGCATTGCCATTTGGAAAGCAAAAAATCCATCCAGTCTATAGACTGATTCTTGTATCCAAAATACTATTTTCACGAATTAAATATTATAAGTAAGTCTTTTCCTCTGTGGCTAGCTTTAGTTTTGTTCACTCTTTGAATCCCAGTCCTTACTGTCAGTGTCAAAATCAAAACTAGTGGTATGTCAATTGTCAAACAATAATCAATAAAAACTTAAAAACATCGCACTTCGGTAATATTATGAGGTAAAGGCGTATTTTACAGTAAAGAAATACCATAATCTATTTGTAAAAAAACGCAATGGCCTCAGAAGCTTTGAACATTTCTCGGCGAAATTTGAATGAAGTGTTGGGTGAAAAATCTACGAAATATTTCAATCATATGAAGCAATGGTTTCGCATGAAGCTAACTAAAGAAGAATTTGACGCCGAAGCACGGGCATTATTGACTTTAGATCAAGTACATTATCATAACGAATTTCTACTTGCACTTCTTAATAAGGTGGAAGGTTTAGCTGAAACTTCAATTACCATTGCGCAAGAAAGAGCGAACTCACAGCATCGGAACAGTAGACGGCATAAGAGAAATTCTCGTGCATCAGAAAGGACAAACTTCGAGCCAGTTGACTTGCTGGAGTATTTACCTTCAAACTCTCCGCCTGGCGCAGGAAGTGATGGTGTTAAATATGCAACACAAGTAAACTATTATCTTTTTAAAACACAATCGTTACTCGGGATTTAATAATTATTAATCTATAACAATTAATTTGAAATCTATAACAAGAAATTTTCATAATTGACTTTAAAAGTACAAAGTACTTTTATTTATTTTCAGGAAATATTTTTGCCAGACCATGCATTAGTAGTTGGTCGTTTCATGCTAGCAGCGTGGGAACTAGGATTAGAAGGGGCTGACGATGAAGCCGCAGATCTCATAGTTGTTGCTGTACAACATTTCCTCAAAAACATTATAAGTGCAGTTATCTCCCAACGAAAAGGCTATAAGACACGAAATAAGCATTTCAAGTATGACATTGGTGGTGATGTGCCTAATATGTGGCTTCGTAATACAAATAAACTCTACGACCCACAGAGTGAAGGTCGAGTTTGTTTAGATGATAGCACTGATGCCTTAGGTCCCCGTTGCCCACCTACAATCGATGAAGTTGAACAATCGGCTGCTCTTGAAATTGCTTGCAGGTAAGGCTCTGTCAATAGCATTTATTTCACCAAACCAAATATATTTATAGTAACTTAATTACACTGCACAATACACACACAGACTCACCTCACAGCGAAAACACACATACACCACACAAATGGATGACATTCCAAATAGCGGAATGTCATCAATAAAAAAGGATCAGCGATACACTCCACACCTTTTTGATCTAATTAGGATTCAAAAAAAAACTAATATATTTTGACATTTACATTTCATGCATGAAGGTTTTCTCCAATTTATTCACTCTTCATGACATAAGTTGGTAGTTATATTAAAAATTAATTATGTAAAAAGCATGTTGTGATTGTTGACATCCTATATAACAAAGGGTGTATATTTGCTTTATATATTTGTATAAAACTAAAGATTATTAACTAGGTAATATAGAGGTATGAATATAAGCTTAGTCTACTTTTCATGAACGAGGTTTAGGGTAAGCGGCATCTGCGCTCGACCACCTAAAGCCCGGTGAATTATTAAATGCCTCTTCAAAGAAAACAGTAACAATTCAGTCACAAAAAAAATAACCTATACAAATACTTCAAGGAAAAGGTTACATATGTCTTTATTTGCAAACATTACAATGGTAAAATCAACCACTATTACAGTACTAGTAATACCCCACAGCCCACTTTAACAATTACGCTGAAATGGATTGGCTCGCCTGGTGTAATACCACAACCACAAAGAAGACAGATTTCTGATGAGTACAGTGCTGAAAGCCTAGTTTTAGTTTTATTTCCGTTTCCTTTCCATTCTATTTATAAGAGGGAGGGATGGGAAGTAAAAGTGTTTTTAACAGCGGAGAATAAAATCAACCACTATATGTCTTAGATTATTGATTTTTGTTTCAGTTCTTCTGATTCTCAGCCCAATGAAGATAAAGTGACATTGGATGAGTTATACCACACTTTGCTGACACACAAGAATATTATTGCTTGCCATTCAGTGTATGCTGTGAATATGGAGAGAATGGCTGTCATGTTGAACCATCCCAGTTATTAAATTAACTTATTTTAACAACTCTTGTAATTAAGACATTAATATGGTAAGATGTTTAAATTTCTCGATACTATAGAAAAAAGCATTTATCTAACTTTTTTTTAAATATATAACGGTTTTCTTTGTAAGATAAGAATTTTTCAACCCTTATTGGGTAAAATTGCTAAGTTTTATTGTTAATGGTATCCTTAGCTGGTTTATATATCTAAAGTTAGAAAATAAAATGATCTAAAAAAAAAGGATTTAGTATGAAGTTTTAGTACTTAATAAACTAATGTTATAAATGCGAAAGTTTAGATGGATGGATGGATGGATGTTTGTTAGCGTTTGTAGCCTAAACGGCTGAACGGATCCCCATGAAATTTAGCACAGGTATAGAGCATAGTCTGGAAGAATACATAGGCTACTTTTTATCCCGGAATAAGTTACGGTTCCCGTGGGATTCATTAATTTAGTTTTTTAATGTTTACTCGATCATTCTGCAACGGTTCAACATATCTTATTGAAATTTGGCACAGATGTAAAACAAAGTCTGGAGTACACATGGGATAAGCTTCATCCCCGAGGTGTCCGGTTCCCGAGGGATACGTAGCTTTTTGTTATTTATATAGTTCGTATGTTTTCTAATAACACGCGGATGAAGTCGCGGGCAACAGCTCGTACTTAATAAATGTATTATGAAATGTGTTATTTTAGAATTAAACGTTCTCTCTCTCGTATCTCTATTACTATGTAAGTTGCTTAAATTATATTATTTTTAATTCTAAACTTGTAGTATGTGAACGTATTTGCATGAAGTAATTTGGTACTGTATTTGAAAAATTAATAAAAGTCATTATTATGAAATATATTTATTTTTATTATTTAGTTTTGTTCCAGGAATTTGACAAATAAAAACTTGAAAAATAAATATAGAACAATAACATCTAAATACAATAAAACTTTGATTCAAAAAAAAATATTTGCAAATCATCAAATACTTTAGTAAGAAAAAATCACAAAAAGTAAAACACAAGTAAATTAAATTTCGTTTTATTTTTCAATATAATACTCGCGTTAGTTACCTTATTTTGCATTTGTTGTATAGACTTGTGAAACACTTTAATTTTTTGTTCCTTACAAACTTAAAGTCTAGACCAATCAAATCCCAGTACATATACAATACTTGCTTGTATTAAAATTTTATTAAGCTCTAGGCTTATGCTGAAATGTATCACACCGATAGTCTAAAGAAAAAGCTAAAATCGGCCTATCCACTAAATGGTCTTGTTCATTTTGTTAGTTTTTCCAAAATTTATTGACTCAATTACTATGGAGACGTAGTTTCTGATCTTGACGGAGTAGACGGAGACTGTACTGTTATGACCGGTACTCTTATACCTTGAGGAGTGCCTTCAGGGTTCGGTCTCATCTCCTGTATTTCAATCTCCTCGACTTCACGACGACTTCCTAACACCCATCGTTTCTTCCACGCCACGTAGCCTAAGATCCCGATAATGCCAGCAACCAGGATGCCCCCAAGCGTGATGCCGGTTACCGACGCTGTTGATATTGTATAAAGTCCTGCGTCAAAGAAATTATAATTGTAATCGTGGATTGCCACTGCCTACATTGATAAAATACCAGTAAATTATAAACATTTAAAAAAATAATCAAAAACATGACCCCTGTAAAGGTTTTTCAGTATAGACCCACCACTTCATTATTCCACATCTATACATATAATAAAATTGGAGCGTCTGTCTGTAATATCAAAAGAAAAATTCCAGATTTCGGAAAGATGATGTATTTGCGTTTGTTATAACGAAAATCGCATTTAATTTTTTTTGTCTGTCTGTCTGTCCGTCCGTCCGCAAGCCGCGTTTGTTCCGGGTAATCTCCGATTTCGACCGGACTAGTACTGAAGGGTAACTAACATAGACGGGCATATTATAGCCTCCTTTTTATCTTAATATTGTGTGGACGAAGTCGCGGGCAACAACTAGTTGTACATTAAGAGCAAATAATGTGTATATCTAAAAAAAACGTACCTTCAACGTCAACAGTTATTTGAGCTATGTGTTCCTGGCCATCATCAAAACCCGCCCCGCACGTCCACTGCCCCACATCTTCATACCTCACTTTACGAATAGTAACAGCACAATCCCCGCGGTCCAAGCTTTTGTTCGCCGGAAAGTGATACTTATTCAACAGAGGACTGGAAAATAAAAAGAAAATAAATAAATAAAACATATCGAGTGTGGACGTTACACGCATCCAACAACAAAACATTATCATATTTAGTACTTACTTAGTCGCATTAATTGATGAATCAATACTAAACGGGCTAGCATTCGGTGGTTCGAAGCGACAGTAACTCAATGGTACTAGACCCTTGGTGGTGACACACGCGAGAGTAACGGGCTTGCCGTGGAGAGAGGTCACGTTAGCCTGGACAGCCGCCACTTCCCCCACCACACGCACTTCGATCCTCTTCATTAACTCGACCCTCACTGACTGCACTCCTATATGACACTTCCATTCCCCAACTTCCGCCTCACTTGCGTTTATCTTCACTTCACATTTAGCGTTTGTAACCGAGCTTGATCTAAAAAAAAGATAGGATGTTCAGAGGACGTCTTAGAATATCTATTAAAAAATTCAACAATTTTATAAACTACGCTTACTTCACTTTATATACATTGTAATTATGCAATACTAGCTTCCGCTCGACTCCGTCCGCGTGGAATTAAAAAAAACAAAAGCGAGTAGCCTTTGTGTTCTCAAGACTATCCTCTACATCTATACCAAATTTCATCGAGATCCGTTCAACAAACATCCATCCATCTATACTTTCGCAATTATAATATTAGTAAGATTAATGTGCAAAACTGATATTTACTCAATGTTGCTATGAATTTAATTGATTAGTGTAAGTAATCTCTTTTTCAAAAGACTTTGAAGTCTATATCTCATGCGATCAGTAAATGGGATGTGTAAATTTCATTATCTAAATAAACAAACTACAACTTTCTATTTGCAAACACTAAACTTCAAAATCAATTCGTCTACAACAACAAAATAAACGATTGTTTTCCTTTTCGTTTTAATATCACAAATTGAATTACATTGTATTATTTAGTAAATATACTTACGAGAATCTTTTACCACTGGGATGAACAAATCCACAATAAGATATCGGCATATCTGCCTGGCATTGTATCGTCACTGGCTCGTCTCTAAACGCCAAGATATTCTGTACACCATCGTAATCAAATATTCTGAAACCTATTATAAAACAACTACTAAATAATCAACTAATAAACTAAAAAATTAAAGAAATAATTAAACTTTTAGTACCGTTAATTAATTTAGATGTTTGAATATGTAAAATAAATAAAAACAAACAACTTTTCAATCCATCCATTTTCAAATCACGTAAACAACTCTCAACGACTACAATATTAATACTAA